CCAGTCCATGACGTTGATTCCAGCGTTTTGAAGGAAATTTCGTGTCAACATCGCGGTATGCGGCCGAGCATTATCATGCTGGAACTGTAGGCCTGGGCCATGAGCCCCCATGAAAGGAACGAGTTCGGGGGTGAGCACCTGGTCGCGGTAAGCAGCAGCTGTGAGGTTTCCACGGATGACTAGAAGTCGGGAACGGTTGTTCCCACAGAAAGCACCCCACACCATGCAACTTCCTCCCCCGAATCTGTCGACTTCCTGTACACAACATTGGGCATACCGTTCACGACGTAGTCTCCAGATTCTATGCCTGCCGTCCGCGAATCTGAGGGTAAACCTGGATTCGTCGCTAAAGACGACTCAATTCCAGTCACTCTGGGTCCATCGGAGGTGACGTTGGGCCCACAGCAGACGTTGACGTTGATGAAACGGCGTCAATATTGGCCCACGATATGGACGTCGAGAATGGAGATTGGCAGCCCACAACCGATTTCGAATGGTCTGTGAGGACAGTCGACCTCTAAACATCTCAGCCCTGGTTCGTGTAGCCGGCAGAAATCTGTCACGTAGGTGACGTAGGACGATTTGACGGTCTTCTGCTCGTGACGTCACACGTGGACACCCCGACCTTGGGCGATCAGAAGTGGTGCCAGTTTGTTGTAGACGACCTCGCAAGTCATACACAGTACGACGGCTGCAACCCATTGCTCTTGCGACGTCAATAACTGACCTTCCCGCTTGCAATATGCCAACGGCACGTTCACGTTGCACATTTGACAATCGTGGCATTTCAAGTACCGTTAGAACTGTGGTTTAAAAGTGTTTTTTCAATTCTTGAGGCCAATGCAAACACGTGCATATGAAGAAAACTTCGATGCGAAGATCACGTGATCGACTGCACGTGCACAACCTGATTTGGCACTAACATCATTTGCACGACGAATGGATGGGTTTGAGTGGGTTTTGCTAACGTTTTTCTAGAGTCGAAAGATAGGTATCCCATTTCGGATACATAGATGTATCATCAGAAAAATATTATTCATTATTTTTCAAATTACATTTTGTGAAGTTTCTTTTTTGACTTAGTATAGTATTCCAGCAACACCAGAGGCGATGCTGTAGCCAAGTGGTTAAAGCATTTGCTCGTCATGCTGAAGACCAGAGTTGATTCCCCACATGCGTACAATGTGTGAAGATCATTTCTAGTGTCTCCCGCCGTGATATTGCTGGAATATCGCTGAAAGCGGCATAAACCAAACTCACTCCAGCACCATCACGGCGGGGACTACGATGAGAGGCTTCTCACAATGTATCCATGTCTGGAATCGAACGCTGTCTTCGGAGTGAGTGAAAGTTATCATTACTGTGGACATTAATCCAGTTATATGACGGCATGTCAGCTTGGTGTGGGAGGAAATCCCGAAGTAATGCAGGTCTCATAGTGCAGACCCTATGCATAATACAGAATACTACAGCTTGTTCAGCTTGACCTGATCTACTCTACATATGCATGACCCAGGAGGTCAAATGCAGGTCGAGTTAACCTCATTAAATAGGGGAGCAGAGAATGTTAAACGGCGACCTTGTCTCGGCTGTTCGGACATGTTGACAATCAACTGACAGAGATGCACCCCTTCACAATAATAGACCCAACCAGTTTTTGACACGGTCACGCAAAGCATTAGTAATCACTTGATCAGGTCAAGCTGAACAAGCTGTAAATGTAACAGCAAGTCACGCATGCATTGTATCGTCATTTTCAAACAGCTGTTATTTCCACTTAATGTGTGCTAATACACAAAACTGCTCGACTGAGTTATATTTGGTTATTCTTTGAGCAGTGTTAGTCAGTGACAGATTGAGGTTAAATACCTTCAATTCGTTTGAGATTTATCCCATTTAAGAGACAGTATGTAAATAACTTGTAAACTATATTTTTGAGATATATCTTTTGGAGTTCGTCTTAATCCAACTTAAAGGGAATTATACCTTAAATTCTGGGGAAAAGGAGTACACACAATAACTAAGAACAGGAACACAATGCAGTTATTGTTGCACAACACATAGTCGAAGTCTGACGTAACTGATTGAGATTACATTTGAGATGGTCTCCATTGATACGCGGAAACAAATAAAATGGCGGACGGATAAAACACGTAGGAGACCGCGGAGCGTGCAAAGTTTCTCAGCTGGTTTCGATTGGTGGAGGTAAGATGTTAAATGCAATTCCCTTCTGGAGGATGAGTGGTAGAAACAGGTTGGCTTATCTCTTCCCTGTTCTTGCGATCAGTCACGAGCTAATGGTTGTACCTGGCCGAATATATGTTATGCATTATGTATGTGTATATTAGTGTCAGGTAAAAAGCGTTGTCAAAATGACAAGCTACTCCCCGGACAAATCAAGGGACCGTTCATAATTCCCATTGTGTCGTTTTTTTGATCGGAACTGTCATGCTGTTGTATTAGATACATTTGATTGCGTTATGTAAGTAATGAGAATACACAGTAACGGATATTTCGCGATGCATGTGAATTCAACTCGCAATCAGTAGAACGGTAACAACTACATGCGGTTTCGGTTTTGGATTGCGGAATATGGACTCGTCCGCCTCTTAGGGTACCGGGTACGTTTCTGTACTTTGACTTTGTTTAGGGTACATGTCTGTATACAGAAACGTACCTGGGGTATGTATCTGTAGTACCTGTGCCGACAACGACCCCTTCAGCCTCAGTGTGTGTGTGTGTGTGTGTGTGTGTGTGCGCGCGCGCGTGTACGGGGTGGAGGTGTCAGCAATTTTTACATATACATTTAAAAAATTCATGCCTAAAAATTATGGGAAGGGTGGGGGTGGGGGTGGGGCATTGATCTTGTACATGACATGCATAGGGAGGGGGCTGGGTCCACTTGCTTTTGGGGGGTCGTTCACATTGTACATGTTTATGAACGGTCCCAAATGAGTCATTTGTGCTTGGTAGTTCAGCCACGTTACCTAATGTCGTGTGTAAGCTGAATAACTTAAAAGTTAGTGTTAACACCAAACCGTGTGATTATCGACAGCTGTACTTCTGCGGCAACTGTAGATTCATTTAAGATTTGCTTTTGGAAGTTGTGATTGTTTATAGTTTTAACTAAAGTAGTATCATTTGTAAGGGTGTCTTCAGTTATTTTTTGATCTTGCCTAGTCTATTACGGGTATAGGGGGTGGCAGGTTGTGTCTAAAGATCGTGTCATTACCTGTGTTATGGACATTCTAAGTTATCACATCGTGTCGAGGGTTTTATCAGTTCCGAGTAAGGTTTTATTCCCCAAGACAAGTACATGCATACTCCATAAACATCATCATTACACACCAACCCCCTAGCCATACTGCTAAATATTTTGCTTTAGATTTATATTTCATTTTGGCATATATGTGTGAGATAACGTATTTGTTTCCACTTGGAAACACGTTACAATAATAGTGCCAATACAAATCCTTGTTCTGAAGCTTTTTTAACTGTTGGAATGTGCATCTGAAGCTTCCATCTAGACGATTCAATGGAACTTGGATATCTTCACTTCATTTGAAGTGTTTTTCACCTCCATTTTTACTCAAAAGTGACAAAAAGCGGTATGTTCATATACATTTCAGAGACTCCTTAAACACTGCTGCAAGAAGTCGTCAATGGAAGGCGAGCTCACCTGCCCAATATGCCTGCAAATATACCAGGACCCTGTCTTGATGTCATGTATGCACTCGTACTGCAGGGAGTGTCTCAAAGATTTGCATGTCAAATCCACTACAGCCGAGGAATCATTGGGTAGGTTGTGAAAACATATTTTCAGTTTCATTAAATAGCTCCAATATTTTAAGGCTATAATATACCTCCCACCAAATGTTTAGACACACTCACCATATATTATGTATATATGGTTACATCAGAGATTGATTTCTCCACTAACTTATGGGAACCAACTGCAAACCTTATGCAGATGAATTTCACGAGGATCATGCATCAAATTGCAGAAATGCATGTGCAAATATCATGCATGTGAACAGAGCTGAGTTCCATCATTTATTGAACTCATGACAATAATCTTTTCAACGTTACAAATTTGTTTTAGAATACACTAGTTCATGTGTAAGCAATACCTTTAAACAATATGGACTATTTTGCAAAATTAAGTTTAGAACAGTTGCCAGAAGTTAGTGGCTATATTTACGCTAGTTATTCTGAACTTTTGAAGGGAAGTATATAAGCTACTTAAATCACTAACATATAGAAATGTTCTCATAATGTTCGGTAGTAGTCTGACGTCACTGCTGGAGGGGCGGTGGGGTAGCCTAGAGGATAAAGCGTTCGTTTGTCACGCCGAAGACCGGGTACGATTCCCCACATGGGCACAATGTGTGAAGCCCATTTCTGGTGTCCCCCGCCGTGATATTGCTGGAATATTGCTAATAGCACTCACTCATTGCTGGACCTATCATAATAAGTCCTGACTTCTAAACAACATGTTCACGCCCTCACTTCTATTACCTGTGAAGATCCGGATTAGTCTTCAGCAGCCCATGCTTGTCGTAAAAGGCGACCAACGGGATCGGATGACTCTGTGGACATATGCCATTGTTTCACAACCCCGTAGACGTTGATCACTGGATTGTATAGTCCAGACTCAATTATTTGAAGATGCTGCCATACAGCTGGAATACTGCTGAGTGCATCGTTAAACAACAAACATCACTTCTGTTTATCCAACCTTTAATGGGCGATTGATAATGTGGTACTTTCGTTTAACATTATACATTGTATAATAGTGTAGCAGAATCTGAAATACCATTCAAAATGGCCATAACACTGACCACTTAACGCTGCTCAAACTGCAAACACAAGAGCCATAATCACATAACTGATATATTTTTGCTGTTCCATAATAGTGTTCACTGAACACTGGTTTAAACGTATCTATACACCATGCAACTGCCTCTCGATTAATAACAGCTACTTTCTGTGTTTCCTAGACACACGTTTAAAGACCAGCAACACGCTGCCCTGCCCCGCCTGTCGAGCAATAACAAGCTTTGGCCTGGAGGGTGTTGATGGCCTACCCAAAAACTTCACCCTAGCAAGTATATGTAGGAAGTTCAAAGAGACCTTCCGACAGCCTCCTGCCCTGGCATCTGATGAAACTTGCAAACAAACACCATCGAACGAGAAAAGCGTGTACTGCAAGGCATGTCAAGTCATTGTGAGGAGTGGAGATCTATTGCCAACACATCGCTATCATGTCACAGAGGACTTAAAAACTGAACTTAGAAAACAGCAGGTGACAACAATGATCACTGAACTTCTGTGTGAAAACTTGTCTTTTGTAAAGTTCTGTTATCTAAAACAAATATCAAATAATAGCTGCATACATGCAAATTTGAATAAGCGTCTCGAGTGATTTAAAAAACAAGCAGCTTGTACCAATGTTTACAAATGTGTCCGAAGTGTACGTGATCATGCTCTTCATATTGAATTCGGATGGTACCGTTTCATCTATACGTCAACTGGATGCGAATTATCTCTGGGAATAAAAAGTACTCTCGAGAAAATTAGTAAGGAAAGATGTGATAAGAAAATACAATGTATGAGGATGTTTGCCTGAAATGTCAAGATTGTATGCCCTTTCTAATACATGATTTAAATTCTGAAAATATGTAGGGATTCTCCAAATCTCATTCTACCACTGGGGAACAGTCCCATGCCATTTTCCTTACGTGTTACATAAACGGTAACTGACAAGATATGCACAATGAATTTTTACTGCCATTCCGTTTGAAAAATGAAGCATTGTTTAAAAAAACCACTATTTGAACTTTTTCAAAGTAACACTGGTAAACGGATCTCCACAGAATAGATTACCTATTTCTCAGGTGTAACTTGTTTTCAAATTATTTTGGAACTTGATTTCGTCGGCATTTATGAGTATGCTGCCAGTGAATCAGGGTAAATTGTTGCCGTCATTTGGTGTGTTCATACCATGCGCTATCTCTCCCTAGGTCAAACTCTCCACTTGCCTTCAGGAGCTGGAAAGAAGTCGCACTAAGGAAGAAGCTAGACTGAAAGCAGCATCGGTTGATCATTGTAACAGACAGGTACTTACTTGCTTAGAATAGCCATGCTGTCCTTCTGAAACTTGTTATATATTTGTGAGAAAATATCAGTGGATTCTGAACGATTCACATATTAAATACGTAAGAGGCGACTAACGGATCCGGTGGTCAAGCTCGCTGACTGGGACGACACATGTCATCGTTTCCCAACTGTGTAGATCGATGTTCATGTTGTTGATCCCTTGATTGTCTAGTGCAGATCTGATTATTTACAGACCGCCGCCATATAGCTGGAATATTGCTGGAGTGCAGCATAAAACTAAACTCACTCACATATATAATATACGAGTTATTCCCCCAATTAGATTGACATGCATTTTAAAAATATATATATAACCCTAACCCAGACACACAGATGTATTAGTTTGTCATATACAATAGGAACAGATGCAGAAACAAGAAGATGCTATCAATTCATTGGCTGAATCCATAGAGGAACGTGTTCAATCACGGAAAAAAGAAGTTCTAGAAAAGTTGAAGTCCTTGAAAACGCACAACAAGACATCTTTTGAGGCGTACCAGAAACAACTCCAGTCCTACATCTCCACTGTCGACAGTATCACTGCAGCTGCACATACAATAGGTGATCAGAGACTGGAAGGAGAAGAAGGACAAGTCGGTTTCCTGCAGGTAGACAAAGCGTTTTGTAGAATATTAATCAGCTTGTTGTTTTACATCCTCAATTAAAGTTCATGTATTCAGACATTCACAATATTTTACTCCAGCACAATCTACATCGTAGGGGGGACCACCGCCAGTCAACATATCGTATATTATTGACATTTAGACGCCTATGCGCCTAAGTCTCAATTTTAGAAATGATAATTTTTAAAAAGTGATTACGTTAAAATATGTATACAGGAGGTTCCACAAAATATAAAGAATCTGCATAAATAGAATGGATGTATGTATCACAACCCCCCCTTCTCTTCAATTGTATAAATTTCTTCCTAAATGCTAACTGATCCCTACCGACACTGACGACAAACACACTATTTCAGGTGGTGGACGACGTCTTGACACAGACACAGCGGTGAGTATGCAATTCACCTCTGAAGCTTAAATGTGAGGAAGAAATGTCGAGGTCCTTTACATAGTTTCGTTTGTGTTTAACGCAACAATATTCCAGCTATTAAGGCGGCAGCCTGACCACCCGATGCTGTTAGTCAGAATCATTTGTACTGTCATGCTGTGTCCTTTAGTTGGTCTGAAGTATATACAGCTTCTTCTTCTTCTCTCTCTCTCTCCCTTTGTCCACTGTTTATCGTGTTTTGAAAAATATTGCAAATGGATATGGCATTGAGCACCAGGGAGGCGCAGGTAGGCCCAGAAAATTGACTGTGGGTGACAGGAGGCGGCTTGGTATTCTTGTTTCTAAAAACAAACGAAGGAGTTTAGAAAACGTAAGGCTGGATATGATTGATAGAGGAACTGTGGCTGTCTGTAAGGAGACAATTAGAACTGAGCTGCATGCAATGGGTTGGCAGAAAAGTCGAGGATTTCCATCACCGATCATGAAACCTGAACAAAAGGAGCGAAGGTTGAACTGGTGCTTACAGCATAGAAATTTTAACTGGGACAATGTGATTTTTCTCAGATGAAAGTTCTGTGGCTGTTTCCTAATACACTGAAATTCTGGACCAAACAAACTGAAAAACCTTTGTATCAGCTCCCAAAGTCTGAAATTTAACGTGTGGGGTGGCATATCTGTGTTAGGGGCAACGCCCCTCTGTGTATTTGAAGGGAATATGAACAGTGAGCGGTACACAGATATTCTCGAAGGACATTTACTTCCATCTGCTCATGTGTTTTGGATTTTCCATTTTTGGATTTTCCAGCAGGACAACGACCCAAAACATCGCTCAAAGCATTCACAGGCCTGGTTTCGGACCCAAAATATGACATTATCAGACTGGCCAAGCTATAGCCCTGACCTAAATCCAATAGAAAATGTTTGGGGACTTATGAAGGAAAGTGTCAATAAGAAAAATCTGACAAATATTGCTGAAGTGAAAGAAGAGGTGGTACGATATTGGGACAGTATGGACCACGACTTTCTCACTTCTTTGATCAGTAGTATGCCCTGCTGCATTTTGAAGCCTGCATTGCTGCCCATTGTGACTTGACAAAATACTAACTGTTCACCTGTCTTTGAGTCTGGAGTTATGTTCTGCTAATATTCACATTTAAAACTTGAGTAATGAGTGAAAAGAATTACAATCTTTAAATTCTCAATAATTTCTGGTTGTACTGTGTTAACGTGGTGGTAGTCATAATTCTCCATTTCGTCGTTTGAAATGTAAATGCAAGGCTAAAGCTATTACAAGTATGTTTGAAATACAAACAACTAATAATTTTATCCCAGTCACGTTTAAATAATATATTCACACTTTAAACGCTCAAACTGGTTCGATTGCAGACTGGCAAGAGTGGATGACTTGACATCGTGTTTGGGCATGCCGTTTCCTGCATATGGTGAAGAGTTTGCAGGGAATCTAAGAGCTGATTTCACAGCACTATTTGGTCCGTCTCTGGACCCAACTAAAACAACCTTAGCCGCTAGCAACGAGGACATATCAACGGGTGAGTAGTAGCCATGACATAACCTTTTGCTTTGATCGTTGACGTCATTCTGAGAGGTTCTGTATCTCTTACTTAAAGCCCCAGTTTTGCAAATCAAATATGTATAAATTTTGGCCAAATGTTGTTCACAGTTTGCTTCAGTTCACATTAGTGACATTTTCTGTGAAATCTTTTCTCCCTCGTGATTTAGTTCATAGTCAAGAGGAAGTTTCCACTGATGAAGAGGTTGTTGCTGCAGCAAATCACAACGTCATCCAAGGTTTGTGATACGCTTCTTTTGTTACATCAACGGGTGAGTAGTAGCCATAATATGAATTTAAGATTTGATCGTTGACTTCATTCTGGGAGGTTCTGTATCTCTTACTTAAAGCCCCAGTTCTGCGAATCAAATATGTATATATTTTGGCCGTATATTGTTCACAGTTTGGTTCAGTTCACATTAGTGACAGTTCCTGTGAAATCTTTTCTCCCTCATGATTTAGATCACAGTCAAGAGGAAGATGCCACTGATGAAGAGGTTGTTGCTGCAGAAAGTGAAACCGGATATTTCTGCTGGACACCAACTTACAACGTCATCGAAGGTTTGTTCTATACTTTGTTTTGTTACCTTCATACACTGTCCCATGCATGCAGAGAAAGTGTCACAATAAATCATGTGTTTCACATTCAGTCAGCGAAACTCCACAAAAACCCATTAATTAATTTGTAGTGATGCTATTCCTTGGAAAACACTCCTGTAAGAAATACTCATCTCAGTTGGTTGATATTTAGTTGTGGTGAATACAGGGATCCTAGCGTTAATCACTCCGCCATCATTGCTTTGTAATTTCAGGCATCTGAGGCAGTTGTTACCATTGGTAGGACTTTGTCATGTGAGGATGTGAACAACAGTTGAATGTCTTTATCATTGATCATTTAACATTTACATGATTGTATCAGGTGCAAACTTTGAGTGGGATCCATATGAGTGCAGTTCATCACTTGCGATATGCGAGGACCGTTTGTTGGTGACGGACGAGCGATGGCAGGATGAAGAGATTCGAGGTGAATGTGCTAACAATTCCGGTAACTGGAGGAACGTACGTGGCATAGCTTCACACATTATCTTACAAGGGAAGAATTTATACTGGGAGATCCTTGTTACATTCGCTATCCTGAGTCATCTCAACGACAAGGACCTGATCACGGACCTCGGAATATGCAAACCTGGAAAGGAAGACGTGTATTCACCATTGAGAGAAAACTACTATTGCCTCTGTTGCAGTCTAATCAAAGATCCTGTCTCAGCAAACATTGTCATGGAGTTCTGGGATGGCCCAAAGAAGACCACATGGGAAACTCATACGGTAAAGAAACGGATAAGACGCCGTAAGAAGGAGCACCTCAAGCTCGGGTTCAATGTCGACTTTTTGAATAAGATGTTCAGGATCATTGACGTCGATGAGAACGCGGTTCTCCATAATTTTGTGGGTATGGACTTCTCATCGGTCACTGCCGTAGCGTCTATCGAAAATGGAGACAAGGTTAGAACGTCCTTGGAACTGGATTCAAATGTCTGTGGTTTGCCATTCGTACTCTGGAACTGAAGTGATGAAGCTTACCTTGACCGTGGAGTTTGAAATTTGATGATTTCTTTCTTTATGTATATCTTTTATAGAGCCACATCTCAGTGTACGTCATCACATTGAACTACTGAGAATGAATACAGAACACTGATATTCAGAAACACCTGGTCAGTTCTCGGGGAACAAGCACTGTTGGGGAACCAGTTTCCTTTCATGCTTATTAACTGAAACCTGTATCTGACACTCGTCTGAAATAATGAAACTGACCTACATCGCAAAGTATTACAATAAAATTCATTTTAACATTTTGTGGATGTGTATGTTGATCTCGGAAGACTATTGCTTGAACTTGGATCACAGAACACTGATGTATGAACACATACCGGCTGTAGAGAGTCACAAAGGGTAGCTCTCTGTCCACAATGGTATTCGATGTTACATGGCAGTATAGACTGAAGTGTCTTATGATTGTTAGTGGCAGAAAATGTCATACGCAGAGTGTTTCGTTACCTGTTGTGGTTATATTTTCATTTAGTGGAATGCTCACAGTAACTAAAAGTAGAATAACCTCCCGTCCCACCTTCGTTAGGAAATAAAGACAGGGTGACTGTCAAGATCTGCATCAAATGCTTGCCATATACAAAGAACGCCTATACACGGGACAATTCATATGTTGCAGTATGCTGACTGAGCTTCAAAACCGTAATTGAATTAATGTGTCCCAATATCAAAAGTTGGGTACCATATCAATATATGGTGATGTTATTAGCAGCTGCAGTAACTCGCTGGACTTTATAGAAGGTGTAGATAGTATTCCTAGAAGGAACGTGATTAACCTGACCAGAGTGGCTTAATGATTAGATCTAACATTATCAGTGGTCGAAATGGTGCCCAAACTGACTGTATATCTGTTTCTACACGTGGCAAAGCTGTTGGGGAATATTGAATTGTAACACATGAGGAACTCTAGTACTATTCACACTTTACTGTAAGCCATGCTAGCGGTTTATTTCACTCCTATTTATCTTGGAAGCTTAATTTAAATGAAAACTTCACCTTATTACCTGAAGAAATATATGAATTAAGTTAGAAAAAGTTAAATTTAAAGGCAATAGCGACTGAATTTTTTGTCATCCTGAAACTGTGCAACTGCTATAAAAAAGATAGATTCAGCTATTTTGTCACAAAACAATGTGAAATGCATATACAATGGATTCTGTTGAACGTTGAAGCATTAAATGTGTACGAAATTGTCTCACTCGACAGTTAAAAGTACTTCAGGGTAGAACAACAAAGACAAAAATGCTACAAGCCTTGGTGGTGCAGTGAGATGACAGCTGTGGGACGATCGTTGTGAGGCGGAGAAAGTGTTTGTAAAGCACAAGGTTTATAAGAATAAAGAACTGAAAAACGTATACATTTTAGACTCAGCATTTTGATCGCCGTGCCCAGCGTAGTTCGAGAAAGTGTATTAGTGTGGTATTATTCAAGCTGCAGAGGGAAGTAATATTTTGGAAGACTATTGGGAAGCTGAGCTTAGGTAATGAACCGCACAGAAACATTGCGTTGGAAGTTGTCTTGGTGGATCTGGTGTCGGATGTCTCAGATAAGTGGAAAACAGATTCTGAAACTGTTGAATAGCCAATCTCCGATTAGGGTGCACACATGCCAGCCTGTTAACCTATTTGAAACCGAATATATGAAGAATTACACGCAATACCGATTTAACTACTGACGTCTTAAGAAAGGACTCCACCCGTGTGTTTCTGCTCAAGCTCTTCAATAAGTGTTAGGGGCGGTCGGGTAACCCAGTGATTAAAGCGTTCGCTCGTCACGTCGAAGACCCGGGTTCGATTGCCCACGTGGCTATAATGTGTGAAGCCCTTGTCTGGTGTCCCCCGCCGTGATATGGCATGAATATTGCTAAAAGCGGCGTAAAACTGAAAGTCACACACTCACTCACTCAATAAGTGTTACAGTGGTGGTCTTATTTTCTATGTCTGGAGATAATTAAGAGATAATTAATCCTATTCCCAAAACGGACTTCCCAGACCAAACAGACCCTATAATGTATCGTGGCATCTATTTAGCATCGGTTGTATACAAGCTTTGCTGTAATTTGTTATGTTATGGACAGAGTTAAATATTATAATCGCCGAGGAGCAAAACGGTTTCCGAAAAGAGAGGAAGATATGACTCCGGACAAGTAACCTCTGTGGGACGAGAATGCTACATTTACTGCCTTCAATGATTTTAAAAAACTTATGATTCTATAAGTAGATTTATTTTGTTTGAGGAACTGGACGATCAAGGGCTAACGGAACACATGAGAAAATCTCTACCCGCAATATGCAAAAATGTCCAGTTGTGTACGGTTTTAGGGAGTTACAACTGAGTGGTTTAATGTCAGCTATGGAGTCAAAGAAGGGTGCTAGTTATCACCTGCGTTATTAGATATCCACATCAACGATTTAGCTGTTACCGTAAGGGTCTCGGTAAATGTAAACTCTTCAAAAGCAAGACAGGCACAGGCCCAAACTAAGGTAATGTATTAAACGTATTTAAGTGAACATAAGTCGATTAAGCTTGAACATAGTCGTAGGAAATTCGACACACGGATGAACATGTGTATTGTTGTCATTGTCAGCATTAATCCAGTCCACTCACTGCACATGTGTGGACACAAGGGGGCGTTCAGGTTACAGTACGTTTGAGTCAGAAACGGAGCGATGAATTGCAAATTTTATCATTGTACAAAATTGCCAGATAAATATAAATAGTACACATGTTTATCATTTACTAATACCCAACAGCTTTCTTATATTTGAAAATTTGCCGGACTCCACCAAAAAAGTTGTTTAAGAAATTATCATCACTGAAAACGCAAAAGTTGTTATCTGTCGCGGTGGGGTGAAACTGCAGAAACGAAACAGCCACTATCTCGTCGTGCACGGGATACACTAGACTAAGGCTTAGTCTCTGAATATATGGTCTCTGATATAATTTTGATAGTAACAAACAAGCCCATTTATATTGAAAAGGAGCCCTAGGGAGACCAGAGATTCAGACTAAGGCTCAGTCTCTGAATATATGGTCTCTGATATAATTTTGATAGTAACAAACAAGCCCATTTATTTTGAAAAGGAGCCCTAGGGAGACCAGAGATTCAGAACCTGAGGAAATCTAGACTTGCTTTATTTGGGGCTTTAGCACTGCAGAGAGGGCTAGGCAGTAAGGAAAATAATGTTGTTCAGGGACTGTGAGACAGACTAGGGATACACATGCCTGATGAAAAATGATGTTGAATGCTGACGTGAAACAGTTGATGATTAAAGTGTACGATTTGTTCGAAGCCGAAAGGGGCAAACCATTTTATACCATTCATAAATTCCGTAAGCAAGGGTACTGACAAATGTTCTGGAACACAAACATTGTGAGGGTGATGCGAAGGAGGTAGGGGTCGTGTCAAATTCACACAAATTAAAGCATTTGGACAACTTTCAAAAGAACCTTGTAAGGCAGTCTATCAACAAGTTCTATTCTGAAAACAAATACATGTCGCTGAAAATTTAAAAAAAGCATTTGAAGCAAGAACACAACCTCAGAGTATCAAAGTACACACTCTGGCGACTCTTACACTCTTTCGGGTATCGTTATAAGAAAATTTCAGGGGAGAATAGGTCAGTACTCTGTGAACGCCCTGATATCATCTCTTGAGAAATATGTTTCTCAGGGTTGGTTATAAAGAAGAAGCGCGAGGAAGGGTTCGAGACAGTGTACTTGGACGAGACCTGGGTCAATGCCTCGCACACTGCCAGCAGTCAGTGGGTACCCGATGGGGGTGATAAGGGGTCACGTAGAAAGCTGCCTCTAGGGAAAGGAGAGAGACTAATCATTCTCCATGCTGGTTGCTCCAGCAAAGGCTTTCTCCCAGGCTGCGACTTGGTATTCAGGGCAAAGTCCACAGATAACAGAGACTACCATTCCGAGATGAATGGTGCGGTTTTCCTCGATTGGGTTAAAAACAAGTTGGTACCAGCTCTACCAGAGAAGTCTTTTATCGTAATGAACAATGCCCCATACCACAGCGTGCAGGACCCCGACAGTAAAGCCCCCACATCGAACAGTCGAAAAGGTGATGTGATATCATGGCTCGACAAATTTCAGATCGCACGGCCTTCAAAGTCAACGAAGCCTCAGCTATATGAGAACATAAAAACCCACAAAGGTGAACCTTTCTACAAAGTTGACAGTTACATAAAAAGTAAGGGTCACGGTATTCTGCGACTTCCACCCTATCACTGTGACCTTAACCGCATTGAAATGATATGGGGTATTGTCAAAGCAGATGTTGCCAGATCAATCACAACTTTTAGGAATCCCTTAACAAAATCACGATTGAAACTTTGCACAACTGTGTCAACAAGGTAGCTAACGTCATTGAAAAATGTTACTGGTGTTGGGGTGGCTTACAACAGGTAACTGTGGCACCACTTGTCATCCCTTTAAGTCGTGACTATGACACAGATGTACCCCGCCATGACTGGCTGTTCCGTTTCTACAGTTTTACCCCGCCGCGACAGATAACAACTCTTGCGTTTTCAATGATGATAGGTTCTTAAACAACTTTTTTGGTGGAGTCCAGCAAATTTTCAAATATAAGAAAGCTGTTGGGTATTAGTAAATGATAAACATGTGTACTATTTATATTAATGTGGTAATTTTGTACAATGATAAAATTTGCAATTCATCGCTCCGTTTCTGACTCAAACGGACTGTAGTACCTGGTGACACCACCTAAATACCTTCAATTCGTTTGAGCAGAGACCTTACCCCATTAAAGAGACAGTATGTAAATAATTTGTAAACTATGTTTTTGAGAGATATCTTTTGAAGTTCGTCTAAATCCAACTTAAAAGGAAATAACCCTTAAATTCTGGGAAAAAGGAGTACACACAATAACTCATTCTCTTCCCACAGAGGTTACTTGTCATATCTTCCTACAAACCTCTGTTCTAATACGGCCATATTTCCCGGTTCTCGTAAAATTCCCTACCGGCAAAAGATCGCAACACGAATTATCTCCCTTCTTTCTATCCAATCAGAACACGTGTTACATCGACTTAGATTCAACTTGACTAACACAAGCAAATGTGGGGCCACAAATATCCCCCATCTGCCGGGGAATTGTGTTGATGTTACACACAAGACGTTTAATGGCAAGCTTGTCCGTTGTCAACGAGGGCGATGGAGACACCACTGATCCGCCATAACATGACTGAGTTCTGTCTAGAAGAAATGTTTGCGCATCGCGCAGGGGAAGAAATTTAGTTTTTCTCGAAGCATACGGAAATTACCGAGGCCTTGCGAATGATCACTTTTGAAACAACGTCGCTGATTGCACAACTAAATCTGATTGCCTCCAATCACGAGTCTTGAACGCTCACACCATGAAAGGGCCGTATTAGAACAGAGGTTACGTAGGAAGATAAGACAGGAGAAACCTCTGTGGGAAGAGAATAACTAAGAACAGGAACACAATGCAGTTATTGTTGCACAACACATAGTCGAATTCTGACGTAATTGATTGAGATTACGTTTGAGATGGCCCCCATTGATACACGGATAAAACACGTAGGAGACCGCAGAGCGTGCAAAGTTTCTCAGCTGATTTCGATTGGTGGAGGTAAGATGTTAAATGCAATTCACTTCTGGAGGATGAGTGGTAGAAACAGGTGGGCTTATCTCTTCCCTGTTCATGCGAGCTGATGGTTGTACCAGGCCGAATATATGTATGTGTATATTAGTGTCAGGTCAAAAGCGTTTATAGCTGTGACAGTGTGGCTGAAGGGGGCGTTGTCGGCACGGGTACTACAGATATGTACTCCAGGTACGTTTCTGTACCCTGGCCATAATAATAATAAAGAAACGTACCCTAGGACGATCCATTCCCATTGTGTCGTATTCTTGATCGGAAATGTCATGCTGTTGTAATTAGATACATTTGATTGCGTTATGTAAGTAATGAAAATACACAGTAACGCGATGCATGTGAATACCACTCGCAATCAGTAGAACGGTAACAACTACATGCGGTTTCGGTATTGGATTGCGGAATATGGACTCGTCCGCCTTTTGGGGTACCGGGTACGTTTCTGTAGTACCTGTGCCGACAACGACCCCTTCAGCCTCAGTGTGTGTGTGTGTGTGTGTGCGCGCACGCGTGCGTGTGCGTGTACGAGGTCGAGGTGTCAGCAATATTTACATATACATTTTAAAATTCATGGCTAAAAATTATGGGAAGGGTTGGGGGTGGGGCATTGATTTTGTACATGACATGCATAGGGGAGGGGGCTGGGTCCACTTGCTTTTAGGGGGTCGTTCACATTCTACATGTTTATGAATGGTCTCAAATGAGTCAGTTGTGCTTGATAGTTCAGCCACGTTACCTAATGTCGTGTGTAAGTTGAATAACTTAAAAGTTAGTGTTAACACCAAACCGTGTGATTATCGACAGCTGTACTTCTGTGGCAACTGTAGATTCATTTAAGATTTGCTTTTTGAAGTTGTGATTGTTTATAGTTTTAACTAAAGTACATGTAGTATCATTTGTAAGGATGTCTTCAGTTATTTTAGATCTTGCCTAGTCTATGACGGGTATAAGGGGTGGCAGGTTGTGTCTAAAGATCGTGTCATTACCTGTGTTATGGACATTATAAGTTATCACATCGTGTCTCGGGAAGTGCGGGGTTTTATCAGTCCCGAGTAACCTTACGAGGGACTGATAAACCCCGTATTTCTTTTACATTGTGCATGCATACTCCATAAACATCACCATCACACACCAACCCCCTAGCCATACTGCTAAATATATTGCTTTAGATTTATATTTTCATTGTGGCATATATGTGTGAGATAACGTATTTGTTTCCATTTGGAAACTCATTACAATAATAATGTCAATACAAATCCTTGTTATGGAGCTTTTTTATCTGTTGGAATGTGCGCTAGAAGCTTCCATCTAGACGATTCAATGGAATTTGGATATCTTCACTTCATTTGAAGTGTTTTTCACCCCCATTTTTACTCAGACGTGACAAAAAGCGGTATGCTCAAATACATTTCAGAGACTCGTTAAACACTGCTGCAAGAAGTCTTCAATGGAAGGCGAGCTCACCTGCCCAATATGCCTGCAAATATACCAAGATCCTGTCGTGATGTCATGCATGCACTCGTACTGCAGGGAGTGTCTCAAAGATTTGCATGTCAAATCCACTACAGCCGAGGAATCATGAGGTCGGTTGTGAAAACGTATTTTCAGTTTGCATCGAATAGCTTCAATACTTTAAGGCTTTAATATAAGCTTCTATAACCACTAATAGATGTAATGTTTTCATGATGGTCGGTGTTTTGTCTGATTTGACTTCACCTGACGTCATTGCTGGACTTGACTTTTAAAAAGAACATGTTCATGTCTTCACTTCTTTTACCCGTGAAGATCCGGATTGGTCTTCTGCAACCCATTCTTGTCCTAAGAGGCGACTAACAGGATTGGGTTGTCAGGCTCGCTGACCCGGTTGACACATGTGTAGATCGATGCTCGTGATGTTGATCACTGGATTGTCTGGTCCAGACACGATTATTTACAGACCGCCGCCATATGGCTGGAATATTGCTGAGTGCGGCGTTAAACAATATACAAACAAACATCATTGAAGCATTTACTGCTAACAACAAACGACGGAGTGGTTACTGACCCACCTTTTACAAATATGGAAACGTCATAGAACAAAACAGATGACGTCACTATTGAGAGTGACGACATTCGACCTTGACCTTTGCCCATCCTACCAGCCGCCATTTTTTCAAATGCTCAACAACGTTAGAGTTCCAGTCGATGTCTTCATTGCTGCATGTTGTAATTTATGGTGCAATTGCCAATGGATTTCATTTTCATAAAAGAGAAGTTGTTTGATATTGATGATTCTAACTGGTATTGACAACTATGGGATGATACTAGTTGTTGTAACGGCAACAAACTACGAACGTTCAGTCTGTTTAAGACCTCTTTATCAGTATCAACGTATGTTCACACTATTTTCAATAGGTTGCAACGAAGTACCCTGGCCAAACTACGATGTGGAACTTTAACTCTGGAGATTGAGCTTGGTCGTTTTTCACGGCCTATAACCCCTCTTGAACAACGGCTATGTAAATATTGTAAGAATAGTGCAGTTGAAGACGAGGTCCATTTTCTATCGTCCGAAATGTTATATACATTCCGATATTAGGTCAGTTTAGCTTGATGACGCCTGTCGACCAGACTATTTTTATTATGGAATGTGATAACCTAGTTTATTACCCACGAGGTCAACGTATGGGGAGTTGCATACTAATCTCGTACGTCACATGAGTGTCGTATCGCGTTGACCTGTGTCGTTACGACTTGACCTCAGATTCTAACAATTTGATTGGATAACCGATGACCAATTAGGTGACATTCTGACGTAACTATTTTTTCATTCATAACAAACACGTGAATTCATTCATTCTACATCTTAAATGCATTGTGGGAATGTAAACATTGCGAACGTTGCCGTGTCGCTGTTTAATTGTGTCGAACTGAGACATTATATCCGTCGAAAAACATAAACGCAATTTTTCCACCGGTGATGTTAGCCGAATGAAGCAACTGGAAACCAAGAAACGAGTGCTACGGAGTAGTTTACTGTAGGAGGCTGTACGATAGTGTGTTTTATTACACTATACATGGTGGTAGAGCGAAGTGTATTTCTTAAATAGAGGTATATTTTATCTATGCATTGTTTTATGGATTTTATGTGTCTCGTAGGCCTGTAAAGGTCGGGCAGATGTTTCATATGTAATACAGAAGATTTTATATATTATGTAAACATCTGCGTGACACTGTAATAAAATAATGTTTCTCTCTCTCTCGTGCGGGCGTTTTAATGATAATTCTATCCATTTTATCTATAATCCACAATTGTGTGCACTGAATACTGGTTTAAACTTATCGATAGGCCATGCAACAGTCACTGACGATCAATAACAGCTACTCCCCATCTTTCCTAGACACACGTTCAAGCAACACGCTGCCCTGCCCCGCCTGTAGAGCAATAACAAGCTTTGGCCTGGAGGGTGTTGATGGCCTACCCAAAAACTTCACCCTAGCAAGTATATGTAGGAAGTTCCAAGAGACCCCCCGACAGTCCCCTGTCCCGGCATCTGATGAAACTCGTGAACAAGAATCATCGGATGAAAGAAGCCTGTACTGCAAGGCATGTCGGGTCATTGTGAAGAGTGGAGATCTATGGCCAACACATCGCTATCACGTCACAGAGGACTTAGAAACTGAAATTACAAAACAGCAGGTGATAACAATGATCACGGAACTTCTGTGTAAACACATGTCTTTTGGAAAGTTCTTCTTCATGCCAATTTGAATCGCGTGATTTTCAAAAGAAACAGCTTTTACGATTATATCTGGAGTATTGGTGACCTTGCCTTTCACATTTCAATAAGCTGTCGCTTTTTTTGATGGCACTAACTTTGGTGTTAGACAGTCCGTTTTATCTAAAAGTAAACTGACCTCATGAATCAATAAAATGGATACGAATTATCTCTGAGAATAAAAACTACTGTCTCGAAAATTAGTAAGAAAAGATGTGACAAGAAAATACAATCCGACAAGGATGTCCGTCTTGTATGTAAGATTATATGCCCTCTTGTATACTTAAATTACATCGATATATCATGTAACACATTGAATATTAAAGTATTGTTAAATAAACCAAAACTATTTGAAGTGTTTCAAAGTAACACCGTTATTACTGATCTGCAAAGGTTAGATTGTCTGTTTCTCAGGTGTAGCTTGTTTTCTTTTTATCAAATCATTTTGGAACTTGATTTTATAGGTATACTGCCAGGGTATCTGGGTAAATTATCACCGTCACTTGGTGACTGTTCACACCAAGCGTTATCTTTCCCCAGGACAAACTCTCCACTTGCCGTCAGGAGTTGGAAAGAAGTCGCACGAAGGAGGAAGCTAGACTGAAAGCAGCACTGGTTGATCACTGTAACAGACAGGTACTTACTTGCTTAGAACAAACTTTATGGATAACAACTTCTTAATATTTCGTGAGTGCGTTTCGATACAGATTCTTGTAATGTCATGCACGAATGGTACATGGCATTGAAGAGAGGGATATGTAAATATGCCGAATGTAACCAAGAAAACAACATAATTATTAATCAACATAATTGGCTAGGCAGTGAGCTGATGAAGCAAATGAGTTGCCAAAAGGCGTAAAAGACAGATATAGTATGACCAGAAATTATTGAGAATTTTAGGAATATGTTTAATTGGATTTCTAGTATAAACAACTTTGGCCAGCTATCAAGTGCTTGGTTTCACTCAAGAGAGACATCTCCGTTATCAATGTTGCTATCCATGCAGTTTTGGGATGTAATATTATCTCTGTTAAAACTTCTATCTAGTTTATCAGTGTTAGAGACAGGAGCTGCTTGACTTTCATTTAGGAGTTCTGAGCGCCATCGGTGAGTGACGTGTGGCTGACCTTCACCTTGGGGTTCGGCGTCGATTTCAGAGTTAGGTTGAGGTCGTGTTGACTCTTCTACGTGTAGAGGGGCGTGGTCAGAAAACATGCTAAAGTTACACACCACAAAAGATGAAAACCTTCCAAACATATCAGGTGCACAAATCAGATAATCAATTACACTTAATCCACGAGAAGTCATTAGAATTGTTATTAGGATGTCTTCCATTAACTATTACAAAACTTGCATAGACTATTCTAAAGGGGGATTTTAGGTTTTGTGAAACGACCGGGGAGGGGGGGAATGTTTAGCATTATGTAACTTTGTAAATATAAGAAATTGATGAAGTACTAATCTCAATCACAATCATACATCATCAATGTCCACAATGATGGTTCATACATAATTGACTTTAAAGTCAAACAAGATGAGAAACAGCATCTCCATAATCTATCATAGCCTTCCTGCTCGAAGATGGTCTTTTTTCTCACTGTAGTCTATCGTTAAAGGTCACATGCAACCAAAAAATCAAACATAATTAAAACACAATTATCACTTATTCATGACATATAATATACATTGCTGGTTACGAAAAAACACATAAACAAAATTATAAGCGTACAATCGCAAATCAAAAGTGGAATATTGTGTACTTCGGTTTACTTCCCAAGAAACGAAGCAGCCGGGATACCGAACCCAGTTAGAGCGGGTGGGTGTGCACTCAAGTGTAACGGCTGGTTCATTTGCAGATGCCCTCACGGGTCATTGTGTGTGTATATATAGAGATGTTGGGTTTTGTAAATACATGCTCATTTTTTGTGTAAAACATTTTGCAATCAACAGACATCATAACATGTCATGTGTTCAAGTATCACACCTGCCTGTCTGTGTAATTACATAATGTGACAGACACCGAACTCGGGCCATAAATCAATGCCTTTTTGTTTATGGTGTATAGCCTGATTGGTGTTAAGTTCAAATTGCATGTGGTCAGTGATAGCAGCTGTGTATTGAATATTGTCATTAGCAGACAGGCAGGCAGACACACAGGTGTCAATAAAACAAGACATTGAGTTTTGTCTGTGACAACGACATATCTATATCACAGTTAGAAATTCTGTCAACGCTAAATAATGACATTGCTTTTAAGTATCGAACTGAGAAAGTGACTCGGTAAGAAGAACGTGTGGTGAAATAGACAAATGAAATTATATAAACAGTTTATTTACTGTCATAACATATAAAAAGCTTGCGCCTGTGAGATATCAACAAAACATTAGAAAAAAGGCTCACACCAAAGCCTTCACCGAGTATTCACCGGACAACCCGCTTCCAAGCTGCGCGAACCTATTTCACTGCGCACATGCTATGAGCGCCGCCCAGCTGTTGAAACCCGTTTTCCCCAGAAAAGTCTGGGGAAATTTAGTGAAACGTTTGAACTCCGATTTCGCGCGTTTTTTTTCATCGCGTTATTTTTCAACTTTATAAGTTGAATTCGCATTTTTGACGATTTGTTTCGGTAAGTCCATACCGAAAGGTATCAGAATCTGCAAAGTTGTGTTTTACGTTGCATGTGACCTTTAAGTTTTCTGTATTTTCGTTTTCTGGGTCGAAGATGGCCACCTGCTGTCAGTTGAAGGATGGTGACTTCGGTGAAACTTTGTTCCGACTTGATTATGTTGATTATGCACTTCTGCCACCTCGGCCCATCTGGAACAAAGTGAACGTTTACCAAAGCATTTGCCATCATGGGATAAAGTGAAGACTTGTCATGACATGGCACACAATATACCCAGTAAAACAACATTGTTAATTATTGCTGTTCTCCATATATGGAGATTTATTACCCTTAAGATAGATTTGTCGAATTATGATTGGTCGATAGCCAAAGCATACCAAACCATGTAGGTGGATTTGCCAGGGTGAACGAACCGTACACTCCGTCAATATTCTGTCATGTGACACACTACACGGGTTGTACAGATGACCTTGACCTTAGATGGAATGTGGCTGCCAAACGGCTGATGGCTTCGAAATTTTAGAGTTGGCGTATACATTTATGAGTATAAACAGAATAATAAAATTGTTGTCATAATTTCTTATTTGGTTGTGTCAATAAATGTATCCAAAAATAAAACGTGGGTTAACAAAACCTCAAAATCGATCATTTTTATCATAAACTAAGCCATCCAGAGTTATCTCCCATTATGGCAGTTCAGGAAAAATCATGGCGAAACGTTTTGCGTCTCATTCTGCCGATGATTGAATGTTGTTGTTTAAAGATAAGCTAAATAAAAAGATCTTAAGGGTAATGAAGTCGTCACACGGTGTTTTGAAAGGGTGGAAGTTCCCTATTCCTGAAGGGCAGCCTCTTACAGTCCCGTACACCCTTTCAAAACATCTTGTAACTAATAGTATACATGGAGATGAATGGAGAACATGGAGATGTAAGGAGGACGGCAATGTACTAACTGAACAAAAATCATTCCCTCCACTGGCGAAGGCCGCGTGGGATTAGTTAAACAAACCTAGTAGACCATGCCTCATAATCCTCTTACTCCTTAACAACTTGTCCTACTGGCAAAAGAAGATACCACCGTTTGGACAACTGGCCACGTCCAGCTACAGCATAAACGCGCGGACGTCGCAGAGGACAATACACGACGCGAGTTGAAAGTTTGCATCTAGCCTCTGACCAGCAAAGAAGTGTGCTAATACTTGGGTACATAAACGACTATATGTAACTTGTAAGCGTATGTACAGTGAAGGGGAATACATGTATAAGAAGAGCGTGAGCTCTACTACAAATAGATATAGGTGGATATTGAGACAATAGTTTGTACAATTTTGTAGTTAGCAAAAAACCTGGTAAAATAAGTGATATCCATGTACGCTGGAGCGGCATAAACGCCCTTATGAAAACAGATACAGTGACAGTAAAGATAGTAAACTCCTTTACAAGAGGGTACAAGCATAGGTGTTAAAAGATGTTAATTACAACGCATAGCAAGCAAAAATGGGGCGTACGGCTCAACCACAGGCCCTCGTGTCTTTGCGAGGATTAATGATTTAAAAAATATTGCTTTTGAGATGACTCCCGACTCGAAATGCTTCACAGTACAATACATTTTAAAAAAAATATTTTATAAAATCTTTAATCCTCGCAAAGACACGAGGGCCTGTGGGCTCAACTAGATTAGCTGAATAAACAAATGCGCAGGCACTTACGTCCATGTTGCATAACACACACGCGTGTTGCGTGTAGGGATTTGATATCTTGATGATTCGATTCGATTCGATTGTTTATTCAGTAAAGACTTGGGCTATGCCCCTCGTCATCATTTTACACTGCATACATGATAGAATATGGTTATCCATTGAAATATACATATCTTTTACATTTACAAAAGGAGGCTGGACAAAACATTTCGGTACTTATGTGCATTACTTTATGTATTTACATAATTTTGCAATATTTTTCTTTAGATGTGTTTCTTAATAATTCCAAAAAAATCAACTTACTTGGTTTCTTCCAAAAATAAGCTTTAATCAGATGTTTTCGATGAACTGCATGGTTTGGGCAAATTAAAACGAAATGGTAATCATCTTCAATTACATTTACATTATTTTCATTACAGTAAATACAATATCTTTTCTCCCGATCAATATTTTCATAACGCCCAGTTTCATTTTTTTTTTATGATACGAAATTCATTACATAGTTAAATACCTAACAGTGTTTGGATGTAAAGCATGACACAGTGTAGGGAATTGATATCTTGATGGGAGCTGAATCTGGTTTGAGTCTTTTCGTAGGAGGTGACAGGGTTGTAGCAATGCTTCTGTTGGCTATTTGGGATGGATAGTGGTTACATTCAACAAAGACATTCTTCAGGTGTTCTGTTTCATAGCGTAGTTTAGCTGAAATAAAAGAAATTGTTATCCAAAATGTTTGTTCTATATTGTACGTTCCAACTTATAAAAGGCCACTCAAAGAAGGTACTTACTTGTATAGAATACGCAGAATAGCCATAATGTCGTTCTGAAACTTGTTATATATTTAAGAATGAGAAAATGGCCTTGGAATCTGAACGATTTACATATAACACACCCAGAAGGATTGACATGCATTTTTTTAAAATGCACTTGTGCTGGTATAAACATATGTTTAACCCAGACACACGGATGCATCAGTTTGTCATATACACTAGGAACAGATGCAGAAACAAGAAGATGCTATCAATTCATTGGCTGAATCCATAGAGGGTCGTCTTCGATCACGGAAAGAAGAAGTTCTAGAAAAGATAGAATCCTTGAAAACGGACAACAAGACATCTTTTGAGACGTATCAGAAACAACTCCAGTCCTACATCTCCACTGTCGACAGCATCACTGCAGCTGCACATACAATGGATGAACAGAAACTGGAGGGAGAAGACGGTCAAGTCAGTTTCCTGCAGGTAGACAAAGCTGTTCGTAGAATATTTATCAGCTCATTGTTTTACATCCTCAAGTCAGTTCATGCATTCAGACATTCACATTCTTTTCCTCCGTCGTGGGGGCCATACGCCGGTCACCATTTCGTTTACCATTGACATATAGACAAGAATATATGATGCAACCTCTGTTTTGCAATGTGACTTGATGATGATGTAAATGTATACTGGGCCTGTGGCCTATATACGGAATAAACATTCAGATATAGACAAGAATATTACACCACCACCACCTACCCCCACCCGTTTAAGTCGCAATTGTAGAAGTTAAAAAAGTGATTGCGTTAAAATATGTCTACAGAAGGTACCACAAAATACACAAAATCTGTGTATGCATAAATTGAATGTGTGTATAATCTCTTCAATTGTATTAATTCCTTTCTAAATTCTAACCGATCCCTACCGACATTGACGACAAACACACTATTTCAGGTGGTGGACGACGTCTTGACACAGACACAGCGGTGAGTATGTAAATGAGGTCCGGAGCTTTAATGTCAGGAAGTAATGTCGAGGTTCTTTTAGTTTCGTTTCTTTTCGTTTGTTTGTGTTTAACGCCGCACTCAGCAATATTCCAGCTATATGGCGGTGGTCTGTAAATAATCGAGTCTGGACCACACAATCCAGTGGTCAACATCATGAGCATCGACCTACACAATTGGGATACAATGATATGTATCAACAAGTCAGCGAGCCTGACCACCCTATCCCGTTAGTCGCCTTTTACGACAAGCATGGGTTGCTGAAGTCCACGTATAATCTGGATATACAGTTTCTTATAGCTCTAATATGGTAAGATGTTTCAATCCGTATGCAATATGGCAAACAGACATCACCTCTGGCCTTAAATCAGCATTTTTACTTCAGATGTAGTGGGGCTCAATATGCACTAGTAACGTTCTGATTTTGTGCTTGTTTTCAACCATAATGTGACGTTTCCATTTCTACCATACGTTTATATTACATCAAATGCATAATTGTAGTATAGTAAAGTCACAGTTGTAAAGTACTTTAAGTACTAAGAAAACCCCCTATTTTTTCGCATTTATATCCACAATTTATGTAGTTAATATGTGAAAGTTCGGCCTACCTACAATGTCAGTGATAGGGAGAAAAGGGACTTTACTGAGGAGAGGTTAGTGCAGAAAGTCCAAAGCGACTTATTTGTAACAGACCATGGCTTTATGCAAATTAGTGTGTGATGACGTGTTACAAATGACACTTTTTAAATGCCCATTTGGAAATTAGACTTAGCTTCATTATAAACGATAACTAACGTAAAAAATAATAACTTTAGTACTGAAACTATTTGTCTACTCTCTGGCTTCATCAGCTTTCTGCCTAGCCAATTATGTTAATGATGTTGCTTTCTTTGTTACATTGTTACATCCAGTATATATATATACTCCCCCTTCTTCATGTCCCATTATGCTTGACAACGGTACAAGAATCTGTATCGAAACGTCGCACTCACGAATAAAAGAAGTTGTTATCCATAAAGTTTGTTCTATATAATATACTTTATGAAAGAAAGACACGTAAGATGTTAATCAATAGATGAGACATATTCAACATATGTTGAAAAAGCATAAAATATGTTTGAGATGACCCCTTGTACTTGTAGGCAGCACATGCATTTCACGCCAGGTGAATCGACGGTCCGTCGTCATACCTAGCTCAGCGACCTAATTGTCATCTATAGTCTGATCTATTGTTTTCTGCAACTATTTGTATTTTTTCAAAGTTTTGCCCGATTTTACGAGTAAACATGCTTTTCTGGATATCCGAATAGGCATCCAACTGAACGCCCAGTTAGGCCGATGTGGGTTATTTTGACATATGCTATTTGCAATTGTGTAAATTTCAGGGATACAGAGTAACAGTCTGAAAACAGTTTTTTATCGTTCGGTTATAGATACAGGGATGTTTGAAACACTAGCAACTAGTGATTTCATTCCAGTAAATTAGGTAATTATATATTCACACTTTAAACACTCACACGTTGACGTTTGGTTCCATTGCAGACTGGCAAGAGTGAATGAAGTGACATTTTGTTTGGGAGTGCCCTTTTCTACATATGGTGAAGAGTTTCGCAGAGAATCTAAGAGCTGATTTCAGAGCACTGCTTGGTTCCTCACTGGACCCAACTAAAACGACCTTAGGCCCTAGCAACGAGGACACGTCGACGGGTGTGTAGTAGCCATGATATAAACTTAAGATTTGATCGTTGACGTCATTCTTTTAGGTTCTGTATCTCTTACTTAAAGCCCCAGTTTTGCGAATCAAATATGTACAAACTATGGCCAAATATTGTTCACAGTTTGGTTCAGTTCACATTAGTGACAGTTTATGTGAAATCTTTTCTCCCTCGTGATTTAGATCACAGTCAAAAGGGAGTTTCCACTGATGAAGAGGTTGTTCCTGCAGAAAGTGAAACTGGAAATACACAATTCCTCTGGACACCAACTTACAACGTCATCGAAGGTTTGTTCTAAACTTTGTTTTGTTACCTTCATACACTGTCCCCCGCATGCAGACAAAGTGTCACAATAAGTTATGTGTTTCATGCTCAATTAGCCAAACACCACAAAAACCCATTCATTTATTTGTAGTGATGCATTTTGTTGAAGAGAAAGACCTAACCTCCTTAAGAAATACTCACCTCAGTTGGTTGATATTTAGTTGTGTTGAATACAGGGATCCTTGCATTAATCATTGCTTTGTGATTACAGACATCAGAGGCTGTTTTTACCATTGGTTAGACTTTGCCATATGAGGATGTGAAAACGTTTTGATAATGTCATTATCGATTGATCGTTTACCAATTGCATGCATTCTATCAGGTGCAAACTTTGAGTGGGATCCAGATTACTGCGATTCATCACTTGCGATATCCGAGGACTGTTTGTTGGTGACGGACGAGCGATGGGAGGATGAAGAGATCCGAGGTGAATGTGCCCACAATTCCGGTAACTGGAGGAACGTACGTGGCATAGCTTCACACATTATCTTACAAGGGAAGAATGTATATTGGGAGATCCTTGTTACATTCGCTATCCTGAGTCATCTCGACGACGACGACAACATAATCACGATCCTCGGAATATGCAAACCTGGAAAGGAAGACGTCTATTCACCACTGTGTAAAAACTACCATTGCCTCTGTTGCAGTCTACTCAAAGATCCTGACTCATCAAACATTGTCATCGATTTCTGGGATGGCCCAAAGAAGTCACCAACGCAATGTCATGAGGTAGCCAAACGTATAAGACGCCGTAGAAGGGAGCATCTCAAACTTGGCTTCAATGTCGACTTTCCGAATAAGATGTTCAGGATCATTGACGTCGATGAGAACACGGTTCTCCATACTTTTGAGGACATGACCTTGTCATCGGTCACTGCCGTAGCGTCTATTGCAAATGAAGACAAGGTTAGAACGTCCTTAGAACTGGATTCAAATGTCCATGAATTTCCATCCGTACTATCGAAATGAAACTTAAAGGAATACTCTGAAGTGATGACGCCTACCTTGACCGTGGAGTTTGAAATTTAATGATTTCTTTGCTTATGTGTATCATTAATAGAGCAACACCTCACGTGTACATCATCACATTGAACTACTGGGAATAAATACACAACACTGATATTCAGCAACACCCGGTCAGTTCTCAGGGAACAAGCACTGTTGTGGACCCAGTTTCCTTTCATTCTTCACAACTGAAACCGGCAAAATGATGAAGCTGGCCTGCATAGCAAGGTATCACAATAAAATCCATATCAATATTAAATTTTGTGGATGTGTATGTTGATCTCGAAATGATATTGCTTTAACTTCGATCACAGAACACTGATGTATGAACACATACCGGCTGTAGAGAGTCACAAAGGGTAGCTCTCTGTCCACAATACGTATATGGTATTCGATGTTATGTGTCAGTATAGAGTGAAGTGTCTTATGATTGTTAGTGGCAGAAAATAATTTTTTCGTGTCACGAATGATTTGCTTTGCTCGGTTGACAGCGGAAAGATTGTCCTCCTTGTACTTCTTGACCTGTCAGCCGTTTTTGACACTCTTGACCACAATATACTTCTGAGACAACTTGAGTCTTCATTTGGAGTAACCGGAATGGCACTATCATGGTTTGTTTTGTACCTCAGCAATCGACAGCAGTCAGCTATCATAAATAATCATGCATCTAAGAAAATCCCTTTATCCTGTGGAGTACCACAAGGATCGGTTCTGGGACCAGTGTTGTTTAAGCTTTACACCAGAGATCTAGGAGATGTAGTCAGTACACACTATGTGATCCACCATTGTTATGCTGATGACACCCAGTTGTCTGATTCGTGCAATCCCAGTACAGCAGATCGAATGTGGGAGCGACTGTCAGAGTGTACAAGTGACGTAAAAACATGGGTGACGACACATTTGCTCAAACTGAATGAGACGAAAACAGAGGCGTTGCTTGTCGGCACTAAGAAGTATCTTCATCAAGTGATGACTAACTCAGTCACAGTTTGCAACACTGTCATTCCATTTTCGAAAACCGTAAAAAACCTTGGACTTCATCTGGACTCTGATCTCTCTTTGAAAGCTCATATTGACACAGTCTGCAAATCCTGTTACTTCCATTTGAGGAACATTAGCAGCATCGGAAGCTCCCTTACTACAGCGGCAGCTGGTTCTCTCAAAGACTGACTTCTGTAATAGCATCTTCTATGGACTTTCCGAAAAACTTCTATCAAAACTCCAGAAAGTACAAAACTCTGGAGCTCGACTTATTTTGGAAAGAGCTCCGATCCATCTCTGGAGGAAATAAGTTTTCACCTCAGATCAATAAAGATGTGTGGCTTGATCATTTTAACACGGTTTTTAATAGACCTGTGCTCAGTGATACAGTAACTTGGAAATGTCAAGATGTTAAGGATTGTGTTGATGATATTGATGCTACTATTCTTGAATGTGAGTTCACTGATTCTGAAATTATATCAGCCTTAGATGATCTAAAAAGAGGTAAATCTCCAGGTAATGACTGTATAATTGTAGAAATGCTTACATGTTCTACACATATTATTTATTATTTCTTAGAAAACTTTTTGATACATTGTTTCAAAAAGTTGTTTTCCCTGTAAACTGGACTAAAGCAATTATAAATTCCTATACATAAAAAGGGTGACCTAAGTAATCCCGATAATTACAGAGGGATTTCCCTTTTAAGTGTACTCATCAAAATATATACACGGATTCTTCGTACCAGACTTACAACTTGGGCTACGATAAGAGATAAAATACCTGAATTTCAAGCCGGTTTTAGAAAAGATTATTCTACAACTGATCACGTTTTCACTTTAAATGCAATAATTCAGAAATGATTATCAAGAAAATAGAAGAAATTATATGTTGCCTTCGTAGATTTTAAGAAAGCTTTTGATTCCGTCTCACTATATAAACTTTGGTACTGTCTTCATAACTCTGGATTAAATGGCAAAATGTTGGCTGCAATAAAAAGTATATATGTATCTGTTAAAGCATGTGTAAGATGCAATGATAATGTTTATACAGATTATTTTGATTGACCATTTGGTCTAAGACAAGGGTGTATTTTAAGTCCACTTCTTTTTTCCTTTTTTATTGATGAACTGTGTACTGATATTGTAGAAAGTGGTAAATTTGGTGTACAGCTGTTTTCTGATTTTTTAGAGATATTGCTATTACTTTTTGCAGATGATGTCATTCTCATATCTGACGTTACTTCGGGACTACAAAAACAATTGAATATCTTAGAATCATATTCTGATAAATGGGAACCTGACGTTAACCTCGATAAAACCAATATTGTTGTTTTTAGAAGGGGTGGGCGATTATCAGCTAAAGAAATATGGTATTATAAAGACTCTGTTATTGACGTTGTGAATTCATATAGATATCTTGGTATTATATTTTCATCCACGTTTAAAATTAATAAATGTACAGACGATCTAGCACTGAGAGGAAAAAGAGCATTGTTACAAATACTATATAACTTACGAAAGATTGATGTGGTTGATCCTAGGGTATTCTTTAAAATATTTGATTCACAAATTCAACCAATTTTACTTTATGGTGCGGTAGTATGGGGGATTAGCCGCTATGAGAATATTTAAAAAGTTCATTTGCTTGCATGTAAGAGATTTCTAAATGTAGGATTACAAACGCCTAATGTTATAATATATGGTGAATGTGGACGATATTCTTTGTATATATATATGCCTTGTCGAGTCGAGTTATTAAATATTGTCGAGTTATTAAATATTGGCTAAAGCTTACGGGGATGCACTCTGGTAGAATACCCAAAAAATCATATGACATTGTCAGTATATTTAGATAACATTGGGCAAAATAATTATGCTTCTCATAGACGTAATATATGTTTTTCACATGGATTTGGCTTTGTATGGTTAGCACAAAGTGTAAGCAATATGGTTGATTTTCTTAGATGTTTTAAAGATGTATGTGTAAATATGTTCTACCAATCTTGGCATTGTACTCTCGACAACAGTTCACGCTACAATTTATATAGAGAATGTAAGTGTTTACTAGAACCGGAAAAATATTTAAATGCTATACACGAAAACAAATATCGTAATATTCTTATAAAATTCCGAGCAGGCCTATTACGATTAAAAATAAATGAAGGAAGATGGTTGAATATTGATGTATCTCTACGCACATGTCCTGTCTGTAAACTCGGTATAGAGGATGAATTCCATTTTCTTTTAGTATGCAAATATTATTCTGAAGAAAGATTCTATTATTTTCCACATATTTACAACCGCATTCCAAATATATTTATATTCAAAAGCCTGCTAACTTCTCCTTCAAATGAAGCATTATTAAATCTATGCAAATTCATATATACTGCTTATAAAAAGAAACAGACTTTGTTAAACTCTTAATTGTTTTACATCATGTTTCCAATATATTTTGATTGTACATATGTTATATGTTTATGGGCCGGTGGCCTTCATGCATAATAAAGATCTTTGACTTTGACTTTGACTTGTCAGCAAAATTCTCTCTAGGATCCACATAACTCCTGTTCTTAAGTCTCTTCACTGGCTACCAATCAGAGCCAGAATGGAATTGAAGGTCCTGAGTCTTGCCTACCAGTGTTACCATCTTACGGCTCCAGGCTACCTTGTTGAGCTAGTCACCAAGTACATCCTTCCAGAATGTTAAGATCGGCATATAGACACCTTCTCACCATTCCCAGACAGAAACTCCGGGCATTCGGGTTTCGCTCCTTCAGCTATGGTGCTCCACAGTTGTGGAATCAACTCCCGACTGAACTCAAAATGTCTCCATCCACTGACTCATTTAATAGTTCCCTGAAAACCCATCTTTTCAGAAAATATTACAATCTATAACTTAACTTTCCAAAGATTTCACGCTCGTTCTAGCAAAACCTTTGCTTTGTAAATATTTGTAAATATGTAGCCCTTTGAGCATGCTTTATGTGTGGAATTCAGCGCATTATAAATACACATATCATTATTTATTATAAAATGTCATACGCAGAGTGTTTCGTTACCTGTTGTTATATTTTCATTTAGTGGAATGCTCACAGTAACGAAAAGTAGCTTCACACTTTCCTTTAGGAAATGAAGAAAGGGTGTGAAAATATACAACAAAGGCTTACCAGATACAGAGAAATACTATACAATGGGCAAATTGATGTGTTGCAAGATGCTGATTGAGTTTCATATAACCTCAAACTGAATTAATCTGTTTCACAATGTCCATATGCCGGTGAAGAATAAGTGCTAGTAAGATGTGGATTTAAACATTATGTTTACATTGATCTAATCAACCACATTGTCACATTAAATTATCTCTTGTGACCTTACATCGTATGTGTTTACTATGGTAAATATGAATGCTTTGTTTGTTCATGTACAAAAATGTTCAGCATACAATAAAACAATAAAACAATCTTGAATGCTGAACACTATTTCCCAATATCAAAAGCCTGGTGTCGTGTCAATATGCAGTGCCTTCAATAGCAGGTGTGGTAACTGGCTAGACTCTATAGAAGGTGTAGATAGTATCCGAAGAGGAACGTGCTTGATTTCACTGGAAACAAGCATGGCGAACGTTTAAGTGGCTTTATGATTAGATCTAACATGAGTCTCATCAATGGTCGAAATGGTGCCCAAAACACTATACGTCTGTTTCTACACGTGGCAAAGCTGTTGTAGATTATTTTATTAATATAGTCAAGTCATACAACTTCGATCACACATTTTGTATGGTAATTGTCGCGATACTTAGCGATAACTGACGATATCTGCAGCTTTGACCGGAAAATGTTTCGTGTCAAGTTACCAAACGTAAGTTATAGCTCATATTCAGCAAACAACTACTTTAGATCAATAATGTAACTTTATCAGCTCAAATACAATGTAAACAGTATTTATTTCACACGTTATAAATTGACAGCACACCTGTCTTCTGTTTGTTTACGTTGCAGGTCTAATTGTCACATGTCCAGACACGTGAAATCCTTGTCAAAATTTAAAACTTTGGAAATAAGTAAGGGCCATTTCTTATAGAAAACTTAATGCGTTTTGAGAATTTCCGTCAATTTGGACCTGATGAGGTTCGAGCTATTGCCTCATTGATAAATACAACTGGACACAATGTACCCACCCTACATGTCAGTACAGAACACATTTACGTTTCTGCAAGCCAGTTCGTGGTGTTTGTCAACATTCTGAGGTTTTGTGCCCGTCACGATGAGCCTGAAGAATAACTCCCTGCATAATACGTGTATATAAGCTGAATATTTGTGACTTTTCATCGTTTTTAGAAGTATTGAAACATAAAATTAACGTTTCATGGACATAAATAACCATAAAATTACTTGGGACTGCTTTAACTCTGAAGTCATCTTGTTTACATGACAAGCCAGCCAATCATATGATCGAACTTATGTGACGTAGCTTTCTGGGTCACTTGTGCTGACAATGAGAGGGCAGCCATGCCGCGATTGTGAAACGCAGCAAAAATACCTGGATGTTTTTAAATGTTTGACATAAATAAACAAGTTTGGAGTAAGAGATTTGAAAATAAGATTATATGAATATAACTTTGAAAATTCAACGACAGTTCTTAAGTGATCGAACTTAAATGACACAAGGGTAACATATGAGGAACTACAGCACTATTCAGACTTTACTGTAAGGCTTGCTAGCGATTTAATTACGCGTGTGTGTGCGGGATCCACGTCATGTATCTGATCACTCCTATTTATCTTGGAAGCTTAATTTAAATGAAAATTTGACCTTTTTACCTGAAGAAATATATGAATTAAGTTAGAAAAAGTTTAATTTAAAGGCAATACCGTCTGAATTTTTTGTCATCCTGAAACTGCAACTGCTATAAATAAGATAGATTCTGTTAAACAATGGATTCTGTGGAACTTTGAAGGGTGAAATGTGTACGAAATTGTTTTACACGACAGTTAGCAATAAGGGCAGAACATCAAAGACGAACATGCAACGAGCCTTGGTGGAGCAGTGAGTTGATAGAGCTATGGAACGATCTCTTTTAGGCTGAGAAAGTGTTTGTAAAGCACAAGGGTTA